ACTAATTATCATAAATTTAAAACTTTTTCGCATTTTTTTTTGGGGTAAGCAACTTCCTCTTCGGTTACATTCAAATGTACTCGTAAAGAAAAAAACTACAGCTATTAGTGAAACATTACTCGTATTCGTAAGTAATGTGGAAAACCATTTATTTCGGTTTAAAATTCCTCCCTTATTTTGTGGGGATTTTCATCTTTGCCCCCCCTAGGCCCGGGTAAAAAACCCGCCCCTTTTGCAGACCCCACCTAAAACTATATAATGAATTTATTCGCGCTATCTACGGCTTATAGATAATCCCCTCATGTGTGGGAACCACAATTTACCTTTTCTGCTCCCCTCCGAGAGCGCCACTTTCCCGGCCTGCTTCTAGAGTGACAGATGTCCTCACCTGTCACCCCCAGGTCTGCGCTTATGGCGGACGGAGGTCGTTCTGCAACCCTCGTTATCGTGGTACCTTTTTTGCGGATCAGATCAGTGATCAAAAGCATCTTTTTCCCTTCCCTTCTTGATGTTCAAAAAGGAGCGGCCCCTAGAACCCCCCCCAACCGCGGACATTTACCCGCCCGAGAGTCCCGCGTGGACTGGTAACGGGGCTCTCTGGAAGATATGCCCCGACTTGCCCCGGGGAAAAGTGGCATTTCGTGAAAAACGTGCGCCCCCCTATGCAACTCCAAGGAAAGGGGAATGGAAGGAAAAATGTTGGGTGAGGTCCAAGCGTACCCCCAAAACACCACTTCGCCCCGGGAAAAACTGTTCCTCCCCCAGAACCTTCACGCGCATACGTATTTTTTGTAGTTTTTGTTGATTTGATTTATTCTAACAGCATGCGAATTCTGGGTTTAAGCGAGTATTAATTTTTTTTTAAAAATGTAAATTGTAATTTTTGGTCAAAAAAGGGAAAAAAAAATCCACGGTGGAGCGTCCCCAATTAAAACGTACTGTTTTCCATCCATATCCCCCCCAAACCTTAAGACATCAAAACGAGGCACTTTACAGTTTTTTTTTATGATTTTCACCCCCGTCGAGCAACACTACGGGCCGGTGGCGGATGGTAATGCCCCAAACCCCCTTATTAAATAAAACTCAAAAAAGGGGCAGTGGGCCCCCCCCCGAAGAAGTGGGGAGAAAAGGGGAAACGCAAACGTGGGGTAACTCCGTCCAATGATTCGAATGTGTTAAAAGAGATTTGGAGATCCGCCCCACGTGCCGTTAGGGGTGATCGTTTTTTTGCAAAAACTCGAGATGGCATCGATAATGACATAAAGCAAAAACACGAACTCGATTGTTTATTAAGCTCAAAACATCGATGGTTCCAAATTGATTTTTTTTTGCAAACACTATCAAAAAAATAAACCGCCCATAAAATCGCATGTTTTTAATTAACGGTTTTATTTATTTATTATAAAGTCTATTTTGGGGTTTTGGGTGCGGCCCGTCGATTTACAAATGTAGCATATTTTAAAGGGAATAACTTTGCTGCTGATAACAAAAGTTTTCCGATGCCCCCCGAGTTGCACCAGGCAGTAATTTTATCTACTTGGGTTTACAATTGGAGGACATGGGATGCAGTTTACAATTTTTTTTTATGCTGGAGAAATTTTTCAGTAAACAGTTTCAGTTTGATTTTTTCCGTTTGATCATCACTTGGGTGCAATACATTTCTTGAACCACGGGTCTATTAAAGGGTGCAATTAAGCGCCATAATTTGAGCAAGTGGGCTAAAAGAAATGAATAAAACTTTTTTTGTACTATCAAATTTTCGCAAAATTTGTAACAGCAACCATTTTCAATTTTCAGCGGTGTATAGTGTAGAGGCTGAAGAGAGAGAGACCACTTTAACAAAGGAAAACTAAAGTCGAAGTTTTTACTAGGCATCGCATAGTTTTAACATGAAAAATAGCATCGGGTTTTTTTTGTCTCATTAGGTTGGCTATTTAAGCGGGAACGGATGAAGGTGAGGGTTTAAAAATTTAAAGGGACCGGGAGGCGGGGGTCCCCGGGTCGGGTGATAACGTGATAAGAACCTTTCCCTTTCGATATTCAAAAAATTTAGTCTCGCTTATCATCGCCCTTTCGCAATGTTGCTCACCGAGGTCCTCTGTTTTGAATGTGGATAGCCGTATTTATTTAAAATAGAAATTTTAAAAGTTGTGCCTGGGAAATGTCAGTGGTGTGACTAGCGGGCGGTGATGGTGCCTATGATTGGGGCGGAGCTGGGGCTGAAGCGATGAGGTTCCGTTCGTGAAACGCGCTTGGGGAGGAACCTTCTGCTTGGGTGATAGCCTAAGTAGGGTCTTTTTCCCCTTCTAGTTTAAAAAGGGGTTAAAATTAAATTTGCAGTATTTCTAGTGGAAATACAGGTAACAGAGTCGGCCATCACAGCTGTTTTAAAAAACAGTAACACTTAATGGCTAAGAGTGTTCTGCTAAAGTTTGTTATTTAAAAAGGGATTTTGTTTTAAGGGGGTTTTTGGTGTGTCAGCTTAGGGGCGGGGCGCTGGCGACGGGGGCGCGCTCAAGGGAAAACCGAGCACGTACACGTATTTGGGGTGTTCCCCTCCGAATACGGGGCCCTGACGGTGGGGTCCCCGCTGGGTTTCCTGTTTTTCTGATGCCGCACTGGCCATCGCAGGCTTGCACGCCACACTCAACACCACGAGAAAGATACTACTGTATATCGTGAGTTACAACTAACTGTTAGTGCAATGGTTGGGGGTGTCTATGAGTGATCAAACATCTTTACGTGACTTTTCAATGATGTTACACAAAGCCGCTGACGACTCAGTTTTTTAGAAAGGTTCTGACACATAAGTATATGTACTCAGTCACTGTGTCGGCAGTGGTAGTTCTATCTACAATATGATCGATGATGTATGTAACATTTATGACAACGTCTATTTTTGATTGAACTGTGATGATGCGTCGGTATTTATGAATCAACACCGATGAGTTCGCGTTTAAACCTATTTAGAATTATTGTTTAGCTCCGGACAAAACTCTATATATACTTGTCTGTAATAGGTTTAAGTATTGAGTGGTTGTTGTGTCCATTCGGTTTAGGACGCATCTTTAGAGTGGTAAGTCATGAGTTTAGATTTGAAGATTTTAGGTTTCTAGGAACAGCTAAACAGGACCGCAGTTGGGACACCTAGACTATTGGTAAGATATACAAAAAAAAAAAAAATGCTATGAAATTCCTTAATGTTTGCTACAATATGAGTATCGAGGTGTGATGTTTGGTGCTGTTGTTCGGTGAGTGTGGTCACTCGGGGCGTGTGGCTGGCGTTGATGGGTGCAGTTGTGGCTGAACTCGCAGGCGGCGCAGCAGCTACAGGAGGCTATGGAACTGCGGGAGCACTTGAAGCCCCTGCTGCGGTACTTTAGTCGGTGGCATCCGCTGCCACAACACATTGACAAACTTATTAAGGTAATATGTCCAGTATCTAATTTTACTACTGTTACTGTACTACTGTACTATTACTGGTAGCATTAAGTGTCTTCATATGTAGTGGTAAACGATCTTCTGATGATTCTGTCTGGAGCGTTTCAGTTTCAGTGCTCATGAAAACATGAGAACTAAGTAATTATCATCAACGCATTGAAACTTTTAAGTATTCATCCATAAATATAACACGATTGTAGGAGTGCAGAGCAGGATGCGCCTTGCAACCTGTACCTGGCGGCCGCCACCCTGATTCTGTTGGCGGTCCTGCAGCCCCTGGCGATAGGTCTGGCGCTATGCGCCGCGCGTCGGCGAGCCAACGCAGTCGCCTACTCTACCGCAATCGCTAAGAGCACTTACAGGTAACCGTGAAACACAACTACTCGAGTTAACTACTAGTTCAATCACTTGTCAATTTTGACACTTTTTAATATTGCAAGCGGCTACCGGTGCCACTCCATTTTCCAACATTACGTTTGTTGTGAAGTTTTAGTGTTTACATTGGATTGGAACACTTGTCTGGTCCGTGTTGCTGTTTATTGCATAGGGGGCAAACGAGCTGACAGCTCACCCGATGGCAAGCGACAACCGCCATACATGGACAGGCGCAACTCAAGAGACATCCGAGCGGTGCCACCCTTTGACTGCCCGTCTCCCAGGGTTAAGGGGTTGGTCCTCCAGTATCCTCACTCGTTCGGTGAACACCGCTTGTCTGTGAGGCCGCGGTATTACTTTGGCCGAGCTGGTTCACACTGCTTGTTCTGAAGCACGACTCTCTCACGACTCAGTTTAGATGAGTGATGTCCTTGCCTTGCGATTTGGAGCAATAGAGCAATTATTTGTTTTGTGAACCGATGGCGCCAAGAAGTTCCGAGTAGAGATACTGCTCTGACTTATGCGTGGTGCGATGTAGGTGTATATTTTCAGCGGGTGGAGCGCGTGGCAGCGGCGCGTGGCCGCCCACTGCACCTTCGTTGTCAAGATATATTACAGAGAGAAACCTCGATGGTCTCCTATAGAGGTGGGTTGATACGTTTTCTGTACAGCGCGCGAGAGGACAACCACTGCGAGAAGGCTCCGCTCCGCACCGCGTACAGGAACGGTCGAATCGTCATCCTCTAAGCTCGGCGGCCGTTCCTTCACCCTCCGCCTGTGAATCTGCTCTCGGAACTGCGGCCCGCCGCAGACACATGTCAATGTGCCGTGAAGTGAGTGTTCTCAACACGTGCTGCTTGTGATAGTTATTAGCACGTACTTTGAAAACGGTTGTTGTTAAGTTTACATATACCTCCCTAAGCAATGTAAATAAATAAGTATGGTTGTATCACATTTTAGTAACGTAGTAAGGCTGACATAGTCGTAAGCATACTTTTGTAATTAAAATTTATATAGGTGACGAAGGGCTTTGTTGGTAACGCGAGAATTGTTAGTAGCGCTAAGTGAAGTGATGTTATGTCGCCTGCTGGGTAAGTTATAATTGTACAATTGTAAAGTATGGTAAAAACGTTTCGGTTGAATTCAATTTTCATCCGAAACGTTACGTTACAACTATATATATGATTCCGTGTCATGACTCGATTACGTCTGTTATCGATTTAAGAGACGTAAACATATTTCCAAGCTGTATTTGTTGTTGTCCTTTCATATTAAATAAGCTTTCAGTACTTGTATGATATTAATATTTTATTTTTTGTATTTATGTAAAATTGTGCATATGTAGTTAAAATAAATGTATAGTTATTTAGTTAATTGTAACTAATCATCTGCTGTAACATAAGTTTCGGCCTTTCGGGCCCAACACTGAAATAAAAATGAAGTAAGTAGATAATTGTTTTCAATTTTTTTTAGACTGGAACAGATGACAACCATATTCGATGAACTATAACCATATTTATCTGGAACTGTCTTAAATAAATGTCAAAATACCTATCACCCACTTCACTGCGAATGGGGGCAAAACCCGCAAGCGAAAACTACACCTCATTGCGAACTCCTGGGGGAGCAGCTCTCACGAGCGTCAACTCTTGTGCGAACAGTTTTCTTCAGACGATATGCGAATAGTGTCGAATTTAATTAATCTATCAAGATAATTCCTAAATTTAGTTATCTGACCATTAATTGAGCTTCTTTTGGTCACGAGCGCAGATAGTGGAAGTAGTGTTGTGTCAGGCATTGTCAGAACAATGAAAAAGTCAAGTATTAAAGCAATCAACATGGCACAAATGGGTAAATATAACTAAAAAGTGTATATTACTATATAAATAATGAGGTAAACAGCGCCTGGCACACGGTGTGCGCGCAGCTATAGATAACTGCTGCAGGCACCTCCCTACCCTGCACTTATTTACTCGTAACTATTTTTGTAAGATATGAAATGATTTATACTCTAATGCTGAATCACGGGAAGGTATTTAATTAAGTAGGTATTTTGTGTAGGGCGGGGTGGAAAATCGGAGACAGGTGTGTTGCGGGGTTCCCCAGGGCACTGTTTTAGGCCCTTTGTTGTGGAACCTCGCATATGATGTAGTCCTTCGCAACCAGTCTGCCCTCTCGTCTAAGTGTATACTTTAATACTGGCTAGAGGGTCACACTTCGCCGAGGTGCTTCGGCTCGCCGAGCATGGGGTGGCTTGTGTCGTGGGAAAGATTCATGAGCTGGGTCTGAGGGTGAGGGTATACATATGTAGTACATAATGTGAGACTTGTGTACATAGGAAAAATAAGTCGTCGAATGTCGGCATGTCGCGGTGAAGGTGGGGCGATCGTATAACCAGCGAGTAACTGGTTTAAACTCCTTCCGCCGCATCACCCTTAAGACACGGCGTGAACAAGTACTGCACATGGTCGAGGTAAGGTCACCAAGCCTAATCCTTAGTTCACTAGGTACTCTTTTATCTTTCCCTGATTACCCTATTTACACCTGCCTACCTACCTATTTATGCTGTTGATACACTCAGGTCTAAATACAAGAATAGAGAGCCAAGCTCGGCACACCTGGGTCAGTGGGTCTGTGCGCTGGCTCGTTCGAAGTGATACCAAGGCCTCACAGGACACCGCAATATAATAAGCTATTACTTCGCTGCTTTTCACCGAGCGAGTGAGGCCTAGCCTCCTACTTGCCCCTAACTCAAGGGGCAGCAAAGCATTCGTAGCCCTTGAGTTGCAGGCGTGCATGGGCGGCGGTAGTGACTTACCATCAAGTGATCCGTCTGTTCGCTTGCTCCCTATATCATAAAAAAAAGAATGGTGGAAGCAGCGTACACATTCACGTTCTTACAATCTGATTCAAACCAGTAAGCAGGGTGATCAATAAATAGAAGACTATTGTTAATTTAGCGTCCGAGACGTCCGACTTCCAAAGGATACGGAAAATAAAATCATCTCATGGAATTGTTTAACATTTATTATTTTACACATGAAATTGAAACTGACGGTCCCGCGCAGCTCCTCCGTGCGCGCGTGCGCTCCGCGAGCCGACCGCGTGAGGTTCCTCGCTACAGATTGTGCAAAAATATATAACTGGTGCTGGCGGCGGTGAACGCCCCGCGCGCTTGACTATAGTCTTTACAACAAACCTCATGTATACATATAGCTATCGTTTATAAGAATATCTATTACATTATCAACAAAATAATACATCACAAGTGAGCTCCGCGCTCCGTCCTACATCACATCATGATATGACATCCTTCCGTGTAGCACTCGCTATACCTTTAAATACAGCTTTGAACAAAATACTTTATATTATATTACACTCTGACTTACCTATGTATGTATATAGTATAGCAACAGTCAACATCGCTCACAATCACAAATTAACCGATAGAGCCGATAGAGAGAACAGCAAAGAGTCAGCGCGGCTCCCCCGACGTCCGCCACAGGCCCGCGGCGCCGGAGACCGAGCCCGGGGGTGAAGAGGCCGCGCTCCTCACGCACATTCAAACAGAACACATTCATTAACAACAGAAGCAACGATCACTGCTACAATATATTCGTATTTATAAATAACACTTAGGCACTGTCCTGCCGGACAGACAGGCAACGTTAATACTGAGCCGGTACCGGGGACGGCCGCCCGCCTCAGTCCACGCGGCTGTCCCGATACCATATAGCTATCCTCGGTGTCACAGTATTATGTTTGTACATAGGACAGAATATAGAGAGTTATATATCTGAGAAAAAGACGGTCTCGATCGATGGAAGAGCGGTAATCTGTCATTTATCTGTAGGCGGGACCCGCCGACTGCTCCGCCAGAAATGGGTTGCTGGGGCGAGGAGCGGGCGCCTGTCCCGGTACGTTCAGCTCGCTCGCACCGCTGTAGCTCTGCGGGTTAAAGGAGAGTGTGAGTGACCTGGGCACAGTGGAAGGGAGAACGAGAGGAGGACTGCTCGTCACCTGAGTTGCGCCGTACGAGTCGTGATGTGCGAGATCGGCGAGGCGCGTGGAGGAGAGCGCTCGCGGCAGCGGGTTGGAGGGCACGCCGTGCGGCGCTAGCACACCGGCCTCGGCCACGGCGCGCGCCTCTTCGTCGACTCCGGGTCCACCCGCACCTGCTGTACCGTCGGTATCGCCGCCGCGGAAGTTCACGAATGCAAATGCAGCTAGTACTACGGTGCACAGCAGGCCGTAGCCGGCGAAGGTGCGCGTGGTGCCCCACTTGGCTACGGCTATGCCTCCTAACACCGCTCCGCAGCCCCGCCCCAGTCCGTGGTGGAGACCTGAGAATTCCGAGTCATTTTAATTTCCCTGTTAATGGACTGCTCCTTTCAAACCGTGTGTCAAAGATGAAATGTATGTATTTGTAATTCAAATGTATCACACGTATTAAAGTACTAGTAATTACGAGTATAATCACGAAGTTAGAAGCGAGACAATCGTGCGATGGTTCTTTATTATTTCGGGCCAACATTATACTGAATTAACCTGTGTGCCAGATAGGCAAGTTGTAGGATGTCTTTACAACTTATTAGCACAGCACTTAGTAATACGTAAGGTTAACAAAGTTTAAATGAAGTAAACTAGAGAATATCAAGAAGCTGATACACTGCTATCTTACTGTTATTGGTATCGTCGTTGCAACTACTTGTGTCATTATCACCATCATACAAGGCAATCGTCAATATGATACAATGAAATAAGATAAAAGTAAGGCAAAAATCTAATAAGATTCGTGGCTGAAAAATGCACCGCAGTAAGGTGACGCTGAGCTGAACGTAGTCAGTTTATGTCTATTGTCGGTGTAAACTTGTTTGAAATGTGTACATGAATTAATAATTTTACATTTTGAACAAGCCTGTGATTGACGGGAGCGCCTGCGACAGTAAAAATAACAATGTTCAAATTGTTAATTGGGCTAACCAACGCAACTAGATTAGGCAGCCAGTACGATTAAGTACCGGATAAGTCGCGAGTGATAGACGTGGGTGGTGGCATCGGTGGATTACAAATAGAAGGTGATGTCACCTTGCAGCACGCCCTGTGCGGAGGAGCGCAGACCGGGAGGCGCGCCGTGCGCGATGTACGAGCAGCAGGCTGCCCACACCGCCGCGTGTGTAACGCCCTGCACGAACTCGAACGGCAGCACCCACCACGGGTCACTGAGCCATGCGATGTACAGAAAGCGCAGCACGTTGCCTGCCAGCCCTAGGCACAGCACCTACACCGGTAAAACACGTCATGATCTTGTTTCCTCTTCACAAAATTACTGAAGGTGCTCGAACTTCTATTTTTCAGGCAAAGAGTTACCATGGATCAAAATTGACTTGTTTATTTTTAAATACTGTATTAAAAATACTTCTTTTAAATTTTATAAATTAAATGTTCTTGGTTTGTCGTTTGCTTTTACCTTGACATGTCCCATTTGCGTTATTAGTTTAAAACTGAAGAAGTAAGCGAAGATTTCTGAGATGTGATTAATAACAGACGCCACGCCGAACAAGGTCGGGGAGCCACCGATGTCCTGGAATAATTACATGTTCATCGGTTTCAAAACTTACTGAATAAATGGCATGTGCATGCAAGCATATATTGCAACAGATACAGACCTGCAGGTGCCAGAAGAGAAAAGTGAAGATGAGACCGATACCGAAACCCATAAACCAGGCAACGAATAAGAACGAGGCTGCTTTCATATTTTGAAACTGCCGTAGGACGGTGACCCACTCGGGCATCTCGCGCGTGGTTTGTGCAAACACCTTGGCGTGCTCAAGAGGTGGAGCTGCGGGGCGTGACGGGGCCCCGGTATCGAGACCGGGAAGTTGCAATTGCTCAGCCAGCTGCTGCTGCAGCTTTTCTTCATGCGTCGGCTCAGCGGGTGGGGCCGGTGCTGCTACCTCCACCGGAGCGAATTCATATTTGAACCGGATCTAAAATATATGCATTTGAACTTAACAAATTTTACTTATATTAGAATAGTTACTAAACATTATGGGACCGATTTCCGTAAGTCGGCTACATTTTGTCAGTACGTCACCTGCGTGGCTGTGATTAGGGCAGCGCCCATTAGCACGGAGAAGGTAGCGAAACATATTGTATAGTTCTTCTCAAAGCGTTGTGGGCCTCCGCATGGGTGAGAGCTGAAAGCCGTGCTGTGGTCTAGTGCTATACCGACAAAGAACATTGCCAGCCCCCAACCCAACGAACCAAACATCCTCTGATGCCCATATCTGCAACAAAAGAACATATTAAGTAGGTGTCACGGCTACTGACGCAAAGGGTAACTCTGGACTATATAGCTAACCGACTCTGCGCTCACCTGTCAGCGTCCTCGCCCAGAAGCGTGATGACAGCGGAGTCAGCGAGCGTAATGGCAGGTGCGCTAAAAAACTCGCCGATGACGACCAGCAGCAGCAGCAAAAAGAATGTCTTTTGTATATCAGGCGTGCGGTAGACGATAAAGGAGTGCAGCGGGGTTACCCAGTCCTCGTTGAGTTTTGCATTGTAGTTGAGTGCGTCGTTCACTGGCAATGGAGATCCCGCCCCCGAGGGCCCACGGAAAGACCGTGGTGTAGGACCCCATTCCTCGTCGTAGCGAGCTTCGGTCAGATTATATACTGTGCTGTTGAGAGGCTGAATGCACGCCACTGCAGCGGGTTGCACCCAGCTGAGCGGCAGTGTAAACACTATCCATGCACCCAGCGATGCCAATAGTAAAGTGCGTCCTTTCTGCCAGCGATCAGCGAGTCCACCCCAGAAAGGGGCCGAAAGGAACTCGACGAAGGGCCGCGTACCAATTAACAGCCCACACTGGCCAGCGTTCATACCCATCTGCTTGAAGTAGACACCCATCAGCGGGAACAGTGAGCCAAACGCCGAATAAAAGAAGAAGTAGAAGGTCTTGACCGTGAGCAGCTCGGGATCAACGGCACCCGCGCCGCACATCAGCTCCAGCACGTCGCTGCGCCCTCGCACCTTGTTTGTGGCATCCTTGGGCGCCGGGTACCTGCCATCACACAAACACAATAGAGCGAATTATTATGTTGATCGTGATGGTGAAATTACTGTTTCTAGAGATTACTGAGCAACAAATAGTATTGTCCAAACTTGTTATTCTAAGTTTAAATTCCCTTACAGTTTAATGTTTGTATGTATGTCTAATGTAGAACCTAGAGAAAATAATAAGGGCACCAGTTTGGACCACCATGATCTAGAACCTTAAAACAACTTTATCAGTAGCTGGGTATGCGTTTAAGCCAGTAAATGCGCAGGAAGGGTTGCTATCACACAATCTTGTGCAGAACAAAAGATAATAAAATAAAAAACGCTGATAATAAAATAAAGAAAAACCAAAGGTTGATATATTGTACTTGATTGTTGACAGAGTAAAGAACTAGCTGCGTGGGTTTCATCCGAACTGTATTGTGTAGTGTTGTCTTATGTTGCATTAGTTTAGTAGTGTTGCGTTGTAACAGATTTACATTAATAAAAAATGTCCCCATTGCATTGCATTATTAATAGCGACAATAGGGCTTAAAGGTAAACCTTATTTTTCTAGCAACCGTCGTCCAACAACTCACAAACTATCAGAAGGCCAACTCTCGTAATAAAAGTTGGGTCTCAATTCAGTTTCAATCAACTTTCGATCTCACAAATGTGTATTTTCGGTGTAAAATAGTAAAGTATTACTAAGGCATTACCGATTAAATTTTCGGTTACAACACGATATAATCACATTACAATCAACGTTAGATGTTTAATACTTTACTACGGAAATACCTTTTGTGACAGTTGTAAGATCGAAAGTTGATCGGAACTGAATTGAGACCGAACTTTTATTACGAGAGTTGGCCTTCAGAACATTGGTAAGGCTTTTAGTGTAAGTTATTGGACAGTTTACAAAGTTGCGAAATGTAGAGGCATCAAACTAATCATGTATGTGTGTTTGAACTCGTACAGTATGGCCTTTCTATAAAAGAACGTCGTCCTTATGCAATGAATACAAATATTATCAATAAATTATGACCCATCAAAATTAGTATGTTACAAGTAAATTAGTTTAAAGTACTTATTTTAGACTAAATTGTGTCTGTTGACAAACCGTCATCACATACAGTACATATTTGTACGGATTTGCAATCTATGTTTTGAGTAGGTAAGTAAAACTTTTTCCGGTATCGAGCGATGGCCAAGACATCAAGATTTAAGTGCGTCTCGCTTGGCGCCTCGCTAACCGCCCCGCCCATACAAGGAAAACATAAAACGTTGTCCGAACCGAACTTAGGCCGCTACTGCAGGCTCTTGGTGCAGTTCACAGCCATTTATTTTATAAACTATAGTATGTATAGATATGTGGTATAATTTGGAGGGCATGTAGCATGAGCACTAATGATTGTCGACGAGTAAGTGTGTTACGTAAAGCTGCGAGCGAGAGCTCGTCGGCGGCCTGGCTCTGTGACCGGGAGCGGTGAGATCGCACCTGGAGGTGTCCACCTCGCCGTACTCGTCGGGGTTGACGAGAGGGCGCACGGGTAGGGCGCCGGGCGCGGGGGGCGCGGCGCTTTGCGGCTCCATGGCGCGGCGGCGGTAGACTGACGCGCTCGGCACGCCGGCGGCTGGCCGAGGGCCCGAGTCGCCGAGTCGATACGCGCTGCGCCGCGTCGCCGCGCAAGCTGCGCGCGCCGCGCGCCCTGCTCCACGCTCCACAGAGTGTCGTCACCGTCACTCGTCGATGCCAGTACGGCTCGTCCTTCATCCCGTCGCTGTAGCATAATATGACCGTCAATCGATCAATTAATTTGGTGCAGTTCAAAGACATAGATCGCTCCCGATCCGTGTGACCAGAATAAATTTAACGAAAATACCGAGGCACCTTGAAAAAATACTGACTTATCAACACGGAGCAAATATGTATGGCAATAAAAATAGTGAGGGCCTAGTGTGAGTTTATTTCACATTAAATCGATAGTCACGGTGACCTCGTTCGGCGTTGCGATTGTCCCGCGCTGGACTCTTCACCAACCGTAACGCCGAACGCGGTAAACTCACACTAGGCACTTTGATTTGCTTCATATTTTGATGTGAAACGGCTCTTTGGGAGTAATGCGGTATATTTTTATACCTTTACGCGTAACACCTGCCGGAAGTTGCGCGATGGCTCAATTTTCTAAATTTAATAATAAAAATAATCATTACATTATTGTAATGATTAGTTTTAGTATTAAATTAAGAAAATATTAATAGTCTAAGATTTATGTGTTAGACTAGTAATATTAACATTCTTTACAAACACTCCGTTGCTTTGTTTTTAAAAGTGCTGTGACACTTTTGTTCACAAATCTGTATTTGGCCCTCTTTTATTAAATTTATCTTGTGAAAATATGCGGTCGCTGGCATGCACATCAGATACCGGTATACATAACAGAGATTATCTAAAATAGTTATATTTTAACATTCCATCACTACTAGAAATATTCCTAATTTACACCCAAAATTGTTCACAACAAAAGTCCCCCTTTTGTTGTGAACAACTTTGGGTGAAAATTAGAAAAATAGAATGAATTAGAAAATTAGCCAATACTCAAAGATGACTTTCTTCGCGATCTACATAATATAATAATCTTCGTCAATTAACTACATTTGTTCTGGCGTACAGCCAGAACAAATGTTCGTATGGTAAACTTTCGTTACATTCCTTAAACTGCCTACACACTTTCAAGAAAAGAGCGTATCGCGTTCATGGGCGGCGGAAGTCGCTTTCCATCAGGTGACCCATCTGCTCGTTTGCCCCCTCTTATATAAAAAAAAGAAAAACTGGCAAATTCTTTCTGCACGGCAGCGGGTCAAGATGTTTGAGTTCCCGAAAAATTTGATTGCAAAAATTTGCAAACATGATTTGAATTGTAGGCTTTACACAATTAGAAAATGATTGGCACCTTCTATAGGTATATTTTATTAATTCTTCAAAGACGGCTGCTTGTTATGACATGTCCTATCTGTAACTCACCTTTGCTGCTAAATAAACTGGACTAAATCCGGTGAATTCCGTGAATATCAATATTGGCGACGCGATTTTCGCTAGGACGATTGTTTACGGTGCTGCCATAACTTCTTGTCTAAAATATATTGAATAATACTGACTTCCAGCGACATAATACAAAAGATATTTCATCTGGGCCTGAACCGGTACGAGGACCGAGTTGACCATAATTGAGGCACCGGGGGGTGGACCACGACGGGGCCTATGGACTAAGAGAGCCTCCGTCTTATCCAAGCCCCCGCGCTGTGACTAGAGTGAGTATCATCAGCGTAACAGATTACGCCGGGAAGAAAGTGAGATCAAAGGGCCCAGTCGTACCCTATGTTCCACAGGAGCGGTCCGAGAACAGATCCCTGCGGAACATAGCACGACACGGGCCTACGTGATAGCGGAGTGCTTCCTTGATGCAGCTGTATGAGTCTCTCGCCTCTTCGGTCACGGTCTTGAGGCGCAACACAGCGTCGACCGCTGAACGCCCCGCTCTAAAACTGAATTGGGCGTCGGACAGATCGGGGCCCACCTCGCAGAGGTGCCGAACGATGCGGGCAGAGAGAACCCTCTCAAACAATTTACCCGGCTCGTCCAGCAATACGATGGGCCTGTAGGCCGCGACCGAATAGGCAAGCCGTCCCGACTTCCTTAGCAGGACCAGCTTCCCGCTCTTCCAAACTTGAAACAAAGCCCATTACAACCCGTCTGGCCAGTTTGGTATAGTAGGAGGTCTTGCCTCCTTTCTAAGGAGAGGCCTATGTCCAGCGGTGAACTAATAAAGCTGTTGATGACGATGATGACTCGTAGACTATAAGGGAGGCTGCCCGTATGGACGAGTATTTATATCGATAGTAGAAAGAAAATAGCAAAAGCTGTTAAGAACGTTTAGCGCCATCTAGGACCTTGGGGAGGAACTGAGGGGATTGAAGATTGAAAAGGAAGTACCGCTCTTTTGATTGTATTTGGTTCGTTACTTTTTGAAATGTCAACGATCACTTATATATATAGATCACACTTGTAACGAGAACACTTACCATATGAATTTTGTCTGTACTACTTACCTTAAATATACGCATTTATATAATATATAAAAGCCCTACCGACCTAAATATTTACCAGAAGAACATACACAAATTGACAAAAGCCATGTCACACCAAACTGGATATTTGGTCTGCCGTTTTGATATAGATATCGAATGATGGGCTCTTGACTGCTTTTGATGAATAAACTACTAAACATTGATCGATGATACGACAGATTACGATAACACAATCTTTACGATTTACTACGATACGTGTACGAACACGTACGAGCTACATGTTTGCGACAATGCTAAGATACGAGTAATGTATTAACTTCATTTAATACTAACCTGTTCAGTAGCTGTGTCAAATACGACACTATGCTGTCTTAATAACCATTTATCTAGTTTTTGTGATTATTGAATTGCACTTAATGCAATGTATAAAAATGTCAACTATTTTGCAGAAATGCAAATTTGTTGCGTCACGGGCTATTTACACTTGTATTGGCACCGCTACGTGTTATGTATGTAATAACTTACAATAAAGGGATGATTTATATTAGACCGCGCCGTGCCCGGGGCGTGCCGTGTACGTCGCCCGGACGGGGCACGGATTTGAAACGTTACATACATTTTATATGAACCAGTTTATATTACACAGTGCGTAATCCGTGTCCCGTCCGGGCCCGGACGACGCTCGTCTACACGACGGTTGCTGCACGGTCCCGCTCCCGTCCCGTCGTAATACGAACACTCTCCCGTGCTGCGTACGGGCAGTGAGCGACGAATGTTTAGTGAGGGAGCACGTACGTTCTTTTTGTTTTACCGAAGCTCAGTTTCCTTGTGATACGGAAACAAGATTCATTGTTGCATGACTTTGCGGATAATGGACGACGAAAAATTAATAGAACATGTCCGAAAGTATCCTGAGCTTTATGACATGACGCATCAAAAATACTTAGATACAAAGTTGCAACAATACAAAGTCATAATGATTGACGATACAGACACAGTACCTTAGGTTCTTATTATTCTATTCTTATTATTCTTCTTAGGTTCTATTATTAAAAATGTCCGGCCGGTGAAGAAAAGTAATTGTTAAATTTTTCTCTGACCGCAAAGGCATCGTTAGTAGATTGTCCGTGATGTTGTGGTCGTAGTTGATCAAGTATGGACTGTCTTAATTCTAATATAGATTGTTCTGTATCACGTGGTGTAAAAGCCATGTCATTTTGGTTGCTGATTACATGAGACATACCGCTAATCGTTGTTTAGGTTCTATCGGTGTCTTGAATCTCGTCTGCTGTCTTGTAAGGGCGGGCTTTAGCTCATTTAGTAAAATGTCAAAGTTTTCCTTGGACATTCCAAAAATATCCAAAGAATTTTTCTTCATTGTCCGGTAAGTATCTACATAGAGTATTAAATTCTCCGTCAAATTGACGCCTTCTCCAAAGAGGACGCACGCTCCATTTCCGTTTAATCTGGTTCTTCTTAGTCCTTGCTTCTGCTTCCTCTTCATCAATAGCCATCGCAATAGCAGCCATCTCCACTAAAGAAAACTCCATTATTATTAAATTGCAATAATTGGAAATTATTCACATCACTACGCTAAATTGAAGCGACCGTGGCGGCTTGTAACCCGTTGAACACTCGGTGTAGTATACGCATGCAGCACGGACGGGCTCCGCTCCGGCCCCGCCCCGGCCCGGACACGGCACGGTCTAATATAAATCATCCCAAACGTAATTGGTAGATAATAAGTTTCGTGAAGCAACCGTGGGGTGGGTTTGTTGTGCCTGCCCAGTGATCACACTTGTGAGATATTTCTCAGTAAGTACGTACAGTTCCGCTTTGAAAGTACAATTATGGAGAATTTAATAAATATAGCGATACAGCGAAATCAAAAATTAGTAATAATTAATTATTAGTAGGTAACTTGTCAGTTATACTTAGCAAATATAAGTTTACCATGTTTAGTGATTTACTGAGTAAAACGAGACTTATTGAGAGCAAATTTATAAAGATTCTTAGCTTATACTTTATCCAATATCCTCTATTCATTCTAAAGGTTCGCTGGAAGAAACCGCACGTTTTGCTCAACTTTATAGATAACATTTTCTTGTCACTCAAATATACCTGACCTATAATAAAGAACAAATGAAGTGAAATGAAATATAGTTGAGAATAATATTATAGAGTAGGCGTGGGACAATCACATCACACAGTGAACTGTGAAAGACCTTTCAAAGGCAATTGTAGTGGAGAAATAACAGTACAGTACTCATGACTAATGTCAGTCTGTGCAAAAGGCCTAAAAGTTATTTTTATCAGAAGACTCTTTAGTATCACATTCAGGTTTAAAGAACTTTATGAATACTCAAGAACGTTACAGTCAACTGAGTGAGCATAATATAACATAAACAAAGTAACAGATTGCATGGTCCGATGTACTCACACGAAATTATATTTTGTACATATTATCTTTGTAGGGACTCGGTTGTGGTTAATCACTGCTTGCAGTAAGCATTACAATAAAGTCAAAGTCAAAGTTTTTATATTATATATTAACAATAATTTAACAATAAATTAACATTAGTTTGTAAACCGTCAAGACAGCGGGACCAACGTCTCAGATCTTGATCTTATTATTTTGAGTTATTTTGTGCCATTTAGTGACGTCATTTAAATTGTTGTGCTCGCAATACATCCAAATTAGTTTAACAAAATGTGTCGTCCCGCTAACCAGTATGTTATGCGCGCACTTTTGCTACTTTAATTCTAGTATCAACCAAAAATGTCCGGTAGTTTGAAAATGCCAACAAGATTACGATTATCGAAGCCAATACACAAACACCCTCAAGGGAAAATTGGTAGCATTTTATAAAGGAAAGGGTTGATTTTACATTACATTACACTCGCACCGTTTCCAACTACTCGTAGATGTACTCGTAACAGTGGCTTTACTAAAGTTTCTCACATATAAAAATGACATTGGTTAAAGCTTAGGACAAATAAAACAATATTGAGTTTTATTCCTTACTTAAGAAATTTTAGATTTTTGATATTCCAACTTCTACATCTTTTTGTAAATGATTCCATTTACAAATGTTCACAAACCTTTTTTGACCCTCAAGGGATGATTTCGGGAACAACAACTATTTCCTTACCCGGGACTACCACAATCTCTATACCAAATTTCATCTAAATCGATCCAGCGGTTTAAGCGTGAAGAGGTGACAGATAAACACATTTTCGTATTTATAATATTAGTATGGATTTTATTAATTCTTACTATTTTTACACACAGTAGCATTTAATAAAAATAAATAAAGATATGTTATTGTTAGTAAATTATTGTTACAAGTAGTATTTGTATCAGTTCATTGTTTTATTCCTCTCGTACATCGCTGGCACCGTGCGACATTTTTGGCAAAGCATAGTCGTCTCTATCACATCACACTATACGATCACACAGAATGTCTGTGTACCCTAACGCCTCCTTCTTGTATTATACTTAGTAGATCAAGCTTTAGTTCAGGACTCGGGGTATAGACTGTAGGTCAAGGCGAGGGGCGCGCGGGCGTGCGGGAGCGCGTGGTGTGGCGCACCAGGCGCAGGCTGGCGGAGGCGATGGTGGAGCGCCGCCGCGACCGCACCGAGGGCGAGTGCGTCCGCAGCGAGAGGGGCGCCTCCTCCTCCACCGAGCCCACATCCTCGCTCGGCGTCGAGATACTCAGCGACCCCTGCAATAAACAACACCCCACACCGTCGATCCAAATAGAACAGGGACAGGCCGTCGCGATCGGGTCGGACGCGCCGGTTATCTCTCTCACCTGCACCGGTCTCTCGGACTGCTCGAATCGAAACACGAAGCACAGCTCCTTCCAGAAGCGGCGATGAACGGGTTCGGAACGTTCACGGGCCCGCCTCGACGCGGACCAAATTAGATCACAGCACGATATGAACACGCCCAGCGCGCATCCCACCACCAGCACCAGGAACAGACCCATAAAGTTCTTCATTGACAACTTCTCGTTCTCGAACTCCTCTTGTGGCTGAAAAGTGCGTCATGTTTACGAGCGAATGTTCCAGCGTGTGTGTATATGTACATATATACTAGAACGCTATAAAGTTATTTCATTACGAATGGTGAAGCAGCAATAGTGCTAGATAATGATGATGGTCCCTTTACTTTGAGCTTTGAGCGATCTCTTACTAAAAGTACATTTCTAGTTATATTTCTAGACTGAAAGAAATAAAGTTAGTACTACATTAACATATGTAACTTTTAAAGCAGTTTAGAAAAGCGGCCTGACGCGATTGTAGTCACTATCCAAAGCTTCACTTCTTAGTTAATGATAAAGAAACCATGTAAAATTGAAACAGTAAACAAATTTGATGCATTTTACTTTGCAAGCGCCACCACCATGCTTCTCCTTCCACCAGGTGTGCTGCATCTCACGCAGGGTGCCCGATTCCTGTAGTTTCAGCAGTCCCAAGTTCAGTGACTGGCGATACGGCGAGTCTGTGCATACACACACGGATCGTATAGATACGTTCAAAGGCCGTATTGCAAATGTATACATTGCACACGACTACCACACTTACTCTTTTTCATGGCGATACCATAGCCTTTGCTGTCAAGCAGCCCGCCAACCTGTCCACAGAATAGACGACATTAACGAGAGAGAGAGACATGCCGGTATCATATAGCGCTGAATGATGGCTGTCATCATCCACACACTGGCCAAAACAGGTTTGTAGCAGATCGGTCGACAAAAACAAGTTCTTTGTGAACCATTTTTTACAAATGATGCCATAATTAATGATTCATTTTAAAATACTTAGCAATAAAACATCTAGAGCCATCGCTATCTACTGGTCCGTCTCCGTGACCCTGCGGAACCACATCGGACTGCCGAGCTGAGGACGGGTTCGGTTTGAATGCTGGCGAGACCATTCCGTCAAATAATAATAATAATGTTTATTTTAATCCCACAAATAAATAACAAAAAATATTGAAAATGAATATGTGTGTCTCTTATAGGACTTAACTTGCGAGAGAATGAGATAAATTACAAGTATACGGTGTTTTCTGTAATCTAAGTCTCCTCTATGCTATCAAGTGTCTTTGCGCCTGCGTACAACGAAGCCTTCATGTGTCATAAACAACGTGGTGTATCATTGACGTGTTTTATTTTTTTCCATTTGCGTATTAAAATTTGTTGGTTAATAAATTTATATTAATTATTTAACACATCTGTGTTAATTTGACCAATAATTTTTATTTATATAATTAATCTAAAGTAAAATTGATTAACATTAGGAAATTAATTGTATTGATTGTACACACAATAATATTTGTGTGTATATTGTGTATTTTTTTTTTGAAATATAATATTTATGTTATATTTTGTCATGAACATTTTCATATTTTTATTTAATAAAATATTTTTTCTGAAGTTTCACTTCTACCGTGTGTGAATTGCACACACACTTTTTTTTAGTTATACTTAATTTTAGTTAATATTTTATTTTTGTTGTATTTATTTAGGTTCCCTGAATACAAATAGAAAATAATAGGCTCATGATCATTAGCGGTTTGTAGGGGTTGGAAGCTCTCCCTCATCCGCCATACTCACCAGACCTTGCACCTACCGACTATTACTTTTTCCAAAATTTAGACAACTTTTTAGTGGGTAAAAAATTCAATTCCCGAGAGGCAGTACAAAATGCCTTTGAAGGGTTTGTTGCCTCCCGTCCAGCTGATTTTTACAAGAAGGGCATCAATAAACTGCCAATGCGTTGGCAAAGATGCGTCGATTGCATGGGTGATTACTTCGAATAACAGAAATAAAAAAGTTTGAAAAAATAAGTACTTTCACTTATTGCATACAAAACGGCAATTTCATAGGTAAAGACCTAATATAAATACCGTCATTTTGGTTGTAATTATTTGATGTTGAGAAACTAGAATATCCAGGTATTATTGGTAGATTGAGTACTAACAGACCTCAGTGTGATCGATAGTTCGATCGCCAACATTCAGACAGAAGTATAATATCACAATTAAATTGTATTCTCTTTGTAATATATTCAGACTGTGATAGTTTTTTTCAGACTTCTGATATTTTGTCACAATACTTTTAAGAATAATTTAGGTTTTGACATTATCGTTTAATGTTATCACCATAACAAGTATGTAGCTTCGTTATGGTGAAATGATCTAAATTATTAACAAAACATTGCAAAACGTAAAGCACTACGGAACAAGGTTTGTAGCCCACGGGTTTGAATAGGAATTCTACAAACATAGGTACTAGTAGCTCAGCAGTTAGATATCACCGTGGTCGACCAGTGGTGTTGACAGTAGCCATCTCTATTATAAATAGGAGATTCTAGTAGCCCAAAAACAATGATCGTGAGACTCGCCTTGATAACTTTACAGTTGCGCTCCGTCTCGTAGTCGATGGTGGTAGACTCCATGAGGAAAGCGTAGTTCTCATTTATCACCCTGTGTACCGAGCACCAAGAAAGTAGTGAAATTATCGGCTGATCAATAAATTGATAATGACCTCTAAATTGTCATCTTTGGTTCTACAAAAGGACTAAAAATTGTTTAGAGAGAGCGACGTGCAGCAGCGGGTGCAGTGGGCTGCACGTCGCACCTCTACATGTATGGCAAGGTTCCTGCGAGTTTCGGCAAACTAATGCATATGTAATATGATACTCAGTTGCTTTATAATGTTAGTATTGAAATACAAAAAATGTACTTTACATTCAAACGTGTAATTTATATTAGTTTGAAAACTTTAATGCGTGGTGGCCACAGAACAGTGAATAAACTAGAAATGCGATGTAGGTAGGGTGTAAATACCTGAAAACATTCGTACTCGCGTAGTACTTTCGCTGGGAACGCAGCTCCATAAAATATATCGCTATGCCGAGTTGCGCGATAATTGCGTGTCGAAAATGAAGCCAGGACTGGAATTGTCCAACGGCGGCACATCAGATCATCGGTAGGTCTAAACACGGCGTGAGGGGTCTATGGACCCCCGGTTGCAACGAACTTCTTTTCGCTTTTTAGTAGACATTTGCTTTAGTCATTATAATTTATATTAGTGTCGGAAAAAAATCTTGTTACACATTTTTCGGTCTTGCTCCCATCCGCTCAGAGCGTGTAACGCGCAATAAAGAACTTCATTCCAAAAACTTTCGTTTTTAAGTAGTGATGTGCCGGATATCCGTATCCGTATCCGTATCCGCGGATATCCAAGGGAGAAGGGAGATCCGTAACCGTATCCGTATCCGTGACTTTTTTGGCTTATCTTTCAATGCATATTACATAGATGAAATTATATATAGGTGATTTTGTATTCACTGTAAAACTCTTAGGTATGTGTTTGTAACACTATAAACAGCAACTTTTTTTCTGGCCAACGTCAAAATGAAAAAAAATTGGTCCTCCATTCAAATGACCAATCAAATGTTGTTAGTTTGTATGGAGAAACAATTTTTTTTCTTTCGTTTTCGGTGTTAGTCCAGAAGAAAAGTTGTTGTTTATAATGTTACTAATATGCACTTCAGAGGTTTTCAGTAAATTTAAAATAACCCTGAATAATGGTTATTAGGTAGCTATGAAAAACTATTGAATTCTGTTCAGATTACTTTTTATTTCTTAAAACAAATATTTGGCACTTTTGTATTGCAATCATTTATCGTACTATACTAAATCAACTATGCAGGTCGTAGGTACTGAGAGAGCTATCTTTATAATGAGATCAATCAAACATTTTTGTATTAGGTTATTAAAATAATGAAATATTTAAATATCAACGGCAAAGCGTCAAGTGGCGACAACTATCAAGGTCACGGGTCATTGAGTAAGAAACTTAAGATCCGTATCCGTATCCGTATCCGCGGATCTTGACACCAAATATCCGTATTCGGATCCGTATCCGCGGATATACTTTGATAACGATCCGGCACATCACTATTTTTAAGTAATATTGACAAAAACTTACAAAGTATTATGTAATAAAATATAGAAAACCGTTATGATCTAATATATTAAAAAATCATACATTGCGTATCAAATTTGAGTACTAACTACATTGTAACCACGAGAGCACGCAATGAACAGCATTTCGTATAGGAATATTTCGATATATTTTGCACGAAAATATTTAGTAAAGTCGCAGTCCATATTTGGTTCCGATAGTGATGTAGCCAATCTTATTTTAATGCGTTTGACATCGCAATATTATAGTTATCAATTATTTTGGGTTTTACACAGATTTTCTGTTTAGTACATTGTTTTTTTTAGTTCCATTTAAATTAACATCATTTTCCGCGGCTGCGAAGGTCACTCACGGCATTATGGATGTTGATACCGATAACCAAAAAATGAAAAACTGATAATGCACTCAGTTTTACACACACTACACTAAACACAGCCTAATATTGACACTTTTCAAAATAAAATTAGCGGAACTCGTTACAACACGTGCGCAAGCACATGAGAACATTAATTGTTCACACCATTACCGTGTATCATGACGAACGCAATCATCATCATCATCATCATCAACAGCCTTTTTGAAAGCACTGCAAAAAGAAGAAAAACTTGACACAAATCCTATACCAACAGGTCTGCCCAGCGTATAGTAGGCCAAAACCTCATTTCTAAGGAGAGGCCTATCTCCAGCAGAGGACTATTAAAGGCTGTTGATGTGATGTGATGTCCTTCATCCTGATGACGCAATAACCAATATGTTTCGTTCGATTCGAGTGTAGTAAAAGCGGCAACGTGTAATGTTACCGCGCCGCGTATACAGCTGATCGTTGCCTGAGGTCAATGTATTATGACATTTACACATGATGTTACAAATTACGAAAACAAAAAAAACTGTTTCTAAAACCACTGAATATTTACAAAACAAAACACACTGTACAACATATTTTGTATGATTTTACAATAAAATGTTCATGAATAGTAATGTGCGGCATCAGAGTATCGATCAAATAAATAATTGACTTAAATTTATTCTCGTATATTTTTCGATAAATGGCAAAAGTACTACATCACTATGGCGTCTGTCGCGTCGCGTCAAACGCAACCTTATTTTTGAAGGCTTTATTTTGTACTTAGCAACATTATAAGTGGCGTTCAGCATTTATCTATACTAATATTATAAAGCTGAAGAGTTTGTTTGTTTGTCTGTTTGTTTGAACGCTAATCTCAAGAACTACTGGTCCGATTTGAAAAATTCTTTCAGTGTTAGATAGCCCATTTATCGAGGAAGGCTATAGGCTATATATCATCACGCTAAAAGCATTAGGAGCGGAGCACCAATGAAGAATGTTTCAAAAACGGAGAAAATTTATTACTTGAGAGACGCAGACGAAGTTGCGCGGGTCAGCTAGTATTCAATAAATCCTGTGGGACAAATTGGCGTAAACACTTATAATGTTTATTTACTGTTCTGTGGTGTTTAGTGTTCGCGGAGGCACTCGCGGGTGAACCTGTGACCTTTTGCCCGCTTAATCCCGTTATAAAGAATCATCAGATGAAGTAAACATCGACATACTTGGCTACTCCATCCGGATTGGAGGTCGGCATGACGTCGTTCTTCATTTTCTGAAACATCTCTTGATACAGCTTTTTTTCCGAATGCTAGAATAGATAAGACAATTTATTGGACCCTATGAAAACTAATAAGTTGCACTCTGCCAGTGGGTGCGGTGGTGTACGCTCACCTCGAAAAACGTGTAGGTGGAGCCGTCCTTTTTGGCGCCGTACTTGATGCCGTATGGATTGTTGGCGAGATCGTTCACGTTGTGAATAAGTTCAGTGATAGATTTTTTGGCGAGTAGTGAGGCGAGGTTCGCGGTATATGAGCTCGTGATGACCAGCGCGAACAGCCACCACGCGCTCGCCACCGCCCGCGACCCGTACGCACTGCGCCAGATAGTTTATTCTTAAAGATAACCTCGATGCCAGGAAGAGAGCGAACTCCACTAGTCACATACACAGCAATACCCACACTGGTGCGATCTCGGAGCCTTGCAGCAGCACAGCGCCCAGGTTGAACCACAGAGCGTTCGCGAGTGTGAATTGGTTCTCGAGCGCTTCTGGTTCGTCGATACAGGGGTACGGGTTCTGCCACTCCTCGTGACACAACCGCCCCACCATATACAGCAACAGCGACGTACCAAGGTATGCAAGCCCGAGGCATAACCACACCTGAATACAAAAACCGACCACGTCAATTTATTGAGACTATTGTAAATAGTGTGTGAAACTCTGTTGTAAATGAATATAATTATAAATATAAGTTAATTTTATTGAAAACTACTGACTACAGACCCCGCGCAATGAGCATTAGATTTGAGCTAAATCTTTACGTTAGAGTGCACCTCCCTATTGATACAAGAGCTTACGCCATTAGAGAAGGGCAGCAGGAAGGCGAACAGCTTCGGCTCGGGTTGTTGCGGCGCTTTGAACATGATGCTGATGCCGAGGTTCATAAAGGGCGTGGTGAAGTCCACCGCACGCTCGCGCTCTGCCGTGATCGTCAGATCCGTGATCGCGAAGTCAGCCTGGCACACGCGTAAAGTACTTACAATACTGAATACAGAATACAGACAGACTTCAATGCTCAACAAACATTTTGTTAAGTACGAAATGGTGAGATGAGATCAAGACACTTTAATGTTCTTTAAAGCGTTGATTTCTGTTTTGTCAAGAAAGTTACTAGGCATGCCGTTTAAGTTCTGTCGTTTTCATATTTCCCGGCAATTTTGAATTTGGAACTGTTCTATATTCGAATGTGTTTAAATTTTGAATCTCAAAACAGTTGATAGTATTAGGATTAATGCTATTGTTCAGTCACAGCGTCGATTGGAATCTGTCAGGTTACGTAGGAAAATGAATCTTTCTAAGGAAAATGTTCGTGCAATAATTTTCTACAACTTTAGAAGAGGCCTGACACGGCTTCAGTGTTTTGAAGAGCTAACATCTGTGTTCAGTGATGAAGAAAAGTCTTCGTGGTCAAAGGTTCCAGTCCGGTGAAGAAGCAGTTGACGCTTTCGAGTGAGCCATTTTGAACACCCCCACTTTAGAGTGGAATAAATGTTATAATAACTGGTTTGAGCGAATGAAAATGTGTATTAAGCTACGTGGTGAATACTTTGTAAAACAATAAAAGGTACTATAAGGTTCTAGTTGTGTTTTTGCTTCAAACGACAAAACTTAAAAGGCATGCCTCGTATTTCCTTTACACTTTTTCATAAAGCGTGTGATCTTTAAGATCAAACTATCTTTTTTTTGTGAATGTAAGTATAGTTAAATATCATATAATTGAAAATAGGAGTGCGATGTGGGTGTGACCCAGTGCGATGTGGCCTAAAGACCAACTAAAAATGGCGTTAAGGGATTCATGTTTGACAAATGTACCAAGTATGAACGAATAGGCTTGTAATTCTTTATACTAAGTATATAATATGAGCATCGTTAAACCGTATGCAACAGATGAGACGTGATTATGAATAAGAAATAGGAATCATGAGACTTTTCACGAAATATTCTCAGTTCTGTCAGTAAATCCGAAGCGAGGATGGCTTTGTCGAATTGGTCAAAAACATAGCAAAACCAATGACCTTGTCTTCCATGAGTTTGCCCAACATGCCGGTAGCCTTGCCCGTGGTGCTGTTGTAGCTGCCGTACACGCCGTTCTCTTGCACTACAAACGTATAGTTGAACTCGAGTATGTCCGCCAGCTTCTGGATCAATTCAATGCAGAACCCTGTCACATAAAACAATGTTTTATTTGAGGGCACCACATTGTGGAAGTATCCACAATGTGGTGCCCTCACACTCGTATATTCACTCAATCAGTTAGTCCATTGAACAACCGCTCTTGCATGAACAAAGGCCTATCAAATATATTTAGCCCCTTAATGTTCTGCTTTCGCTGATGTCTGCTTCAAAAACAATCATATCTTCATCTTGTCATCGGATCTCTTGATCAGATCGGAGTCGTGGATGTTTATTAATGTACTATAACTTAAATGACATTAATATACTATAACGTGGGATATTAAAACACAGGCGACTACGATGGCTTAGGCACTTAAATCGGACGAAGCTCTCTCGTCTGTCCCGACGAATAGGAGAAATTACAAAAGTTAAATTTCGCGTCGGTCGTCCTGTGCTCCGTTTTAAAGATAGTGCTAAAAGAGTCATGGTTTCCTTTAAGATAAACCCGAACAGCTGGGAAACGGAGTGTACGGACCGCGCTCTTTGGAGGAAAACTATCGCGGAAGGTGTGACTACGCGTGATAAAGACTGGACAAACCATTTGTCTCGCAAGCGCATATTGCGTCACCAACGTGCTGAGCAGCAGCACCCACTGACTCTTCCTGGTCAACAACACGTCTGTCAGCAATGTAGCCGAGGTTGCCGCTCTCGAATCGGACTTATTGGATATATTCGTAAGTCTACCATGAACGCCGTATAAATAATCTTTTGTAGATTGTATTAGGCCTATGATGACTATAACTTAACGTTTTTAACAGGTTCAGTGCGCAAGAAACGAGCTTCCAGATGTAGGTATGTAATATGTCTGTCCGTGTTCGCGCGTTCCGAAACATTGTAGGTACTAACCTTCGTAGCGACCATTTCCAGTAAGTCGTTCAGTGGACTCCTGTGCCATTACGTACGGCGCGTTCTGAAACATAATTATAACAATAAGGGAAATGCACCCGTTTACGTTATGGATTCTAATAAATTGACGTTACCTCAGTTACAAAAGACGTTAAGTACCGACTTTTATAATGAAAGAATACCAATTTGACAAAAGAATCTATACAATATAGTCTCAGTAAAAAAAGTACACACTTGGGGTCTTAATTTCTAGGGGCAATTATGACGATGAAATTTAAAGAGCGAATCCCAGATTTAGCACTTCGTATTGTCCCACTTACAATGGTAATTAATTGCTAACGTGTAAGGACCTCAACATGAATTCTCGCAATGGAGGATTCTCACCTATCCAATGCCCACTTAACCAAGATTTATCAAGTGATTTATCAAGAAAAGATTAAGACAGTCTTGAAAATGGTCTTGCGTCAATCAGAAGGCCAATTCTCGCAACAAAAGTTCGGTCTCATCCAGTTCCAATCAACTTCCGATCTCACAACTGTCATAAAAGGTACTTTCGTAGTAAAATGTTAAAGTTTAGTTACTAAGACTAGCAGATTGCCAATTCAATTTTCGGTCAGAATACGATATAATCACATTACAGTCAACGTTGGATGTTCAATAATTTACTACTAAAATACTTTTCTCGGAATTGAATTGAGACCGAACTTTTATTACGAGAATTGGCCTTCTGGGACTAAATTCTGCTAGTTTAATATTGTATCAATGGCCTATGCACAGGACTGTCGTCGCAATAGTTTTTGCAATTTTCGTCTTCTACTATGTGAGACCAATGGCCTCCTGATGACTGGCCACTGACACGAATGTCATCGATGTCTTTGTATTTATTAGTTTAGTAAACGGTACATTTTAAATTTGCCATCCAATAATAGATATACTTAATTTGCCAGATATGGCAATGTTGTTGATATCACCATTGATGAGCTATTGTCACGACGTCGACAGTCTGTTGACACTGTGAATTATACCGATACTTTAACCGATGTCAATGACATCTCAATAACATAAAGGAACAGACTTGAGGCCGTGGTATTAGTGTTGGATGCGCTGTTGCGCTCTTAATATTTGTGTTAGTCTTGCAGCAAGTTTATCGTATTAGCCTATTACTAGTTACTGAACATATTAGTATTAGTTTAAGTCATACAACTAAAGAGTATGTGAATTTTGAGCTTGTATTGATATAGACGTAGTAAAACCCAATCACTACAATAAAATGAACATGACAATATTTTAAGGTTGGACTTTAGTGGGAAACAATTGTATTTTGTGTTTTACCGTTTTATGATACGTACCTTTATGATTTTTTATTATAACAATTATTATAACAATAATTACCTTAATGGTCAATACATGCACTTGTATTGTTATAATAACCACTTTAATTTTTAAAAATATCACTATTTCATAAAAAAAATGTAATCCGTAATTGAGTTTACCGCTGACATTGTGAATTTTAATTTGTTTATACTTAAGTCTTGAAAATTATTTGGGATTTTATTATAAAATCGGACACATTGACCTCGACATCACTTCTTTTTTCAAGAAGCTGTCTTTGTTGCACAATCTTGGTCTCAGTCTTGTTAAAGTGTAAACTTATTAGTTTTCAAGGCCAAGACTAAAGGTCGATTGTGGAAAACACTACTGATAGACTAACGAGTACCTGCAGAAAAGATGTGACCAACAAAAATAGTAGCAGCTATACGGGCTATATTTACAGATGGGATCTGTTGATAGCATTGAAAACTGATGTTTGATTGCAGATTATTCATGAGAAAAAGAATGTGACTTTGACATGTTACATGCACTTTATTTATATGCTGTAAGATAATGTCGAATTCTTTTACAATTTACCCCCTATAATTAATATTTAGGTCTGGAATGAGCCAATATTCTTCTTTTTTTATAGTTTATGAGCCTAATAACAAATATACATAACCGAACTAACACCACTAATACTTAAGGGTTTTGGATACCTATGTTTTTATGTTAAAGAGGCTAAAAGACCCGTCACGTGATGGCAAGTGACCACCGCCCCCCGTGAACACCTGCAAGTCAGGTGTCATAAGCGCGTTACCGGCCTTTGTATTGTTTAGGTTAGCTTTTTGTAGTAAATAATGGGGAGCCCATGATGTTAATGAGGGTTTACTCGACCGTCATGGGGACCTGTTGCATTTGATAGATTAGGTAAAAGAATGAATAAAAGTCATAAAATGTTTCCACTTTCAGAGGTGGGAAAAGCTTCTACAGGTTTTCAAAAATGTAAGGGGAGGAAATAAAAAAAAATATTCGGGCGCATCAGATATTTTGGGGATATGTTATTCGAACTCCAAAAATGCTCCCATTAAAAGGTCCCAAGCTGGTAGCGAATTATCGAAAATGCAATCTCCAAATTTGAAAAATCGACATTTAGAAATACGCAATAGTGCTAGATGTTATACAGTCCGTTCAGCTTGATGTTCCTGTCATACTAGACAAAAATCTGACGATAATTTTGCAGGGTATTTTAAATCTAACTTTTAATCTAAAATCTATTTTTTTTTATAAAATATGACAAATAAAGGCACGAAAAATTACGTAGACATTTAAAGAAGATTTCTTCAATTGTTTGCTTCAAAATAAAAATAAAATTGACATTTTGACACGTAATGTATTTTTTTGTAACTTTGTGACCCTCCCGCTGCTTTACGATACGCTCAAATCGTCTGTTTTTCTTAGATACACACTAATGTGCATGTAATTGACTCAACTTATCGCTCAACTTAACCTCGAGTATTTTTGACCATCGATTTTATTTAACTAATCTGATGGGCTGCCCTAGACGATCCCCCCTATACGTAGGGCTCATGTGTGGTGGAAGTACTCGACTAGGTGTAAGGTATTAATCCTATCTTAATCTGACACGCTCGAGTAAATCCCGAAATCCCGTGTAGGGCTCCCCTACTATTGATATTCGTTCCCAAAATGGCCATATTATACAGAGTTATAAGAAGTAAAGTTTTGATAGTATTCGACATATTCAGAAAGAGCACCGGCCTTATAATTAATTGCTTTAGGTTAAGCATAACGCAATTGTACTTACCGTAATGAGAGGACGTTCGAGTAAGTTCATATATATATATTAAAACTAATAATTAGTTGAAACTTATTAGAAGATTAAATTATGAAGCTGTGTCGCATGCATACCATCGCTATGAGGACGGTGAAGGTGCGATTCTTCATCGAGTCTTGCGGCACCGTCTCGGTGACAACGTCATCGCGTTGCCAGGTGACGCCGACGCGCGGTACCCACAGACCCGCCGGCACCAACTCGCCTTTACGCTTCAGCTCCACCACGTGCAGCTGAAGCTCGCGCCGCCCACCGTCCGCCTCCCACGACACCGCACCCGTCAGCCCCGGCACCTTCCAGTCTTCCTGCACACAAACATATACGTCACGGATGCGTCGTCTCACTCGGTGCCTCATGCACTGATACTTGCCGAGCGCAGGTAGTTGAGCAGCGTGTCGGCGTGGAAGTCACCTACGCCTGCGGTACACTCGGCGCTATTCATTTGAGGCAGCTTTAGGCGGCGCCACGCCTTTTCTGCTAACAATGCTCCTAGGTGGGCCAGCAGGAGAGAGGTGGGTGGTGCAGCAGCCACCGTCGCCGCTGCCTCAGGCGCCATCACTTTGTAGCGGCGGGCCCATTCCTCTACGGTGCTCTGCACCGTCGGCGAGTTGGGGTCGAACAGGAGCAAACCTGGGGAGGGTCCATAGTCACGTAGTGCCGGGAGTGAGAAACACCTCTACTGGCGGTACTGACCGGTAATGTTGGCACCACCGTGGCTGTAGTCAGCGAGCGACTGCGTGTGCAGGTCCAGAGACACCGCAATATACGAGTGTCGCTCCGACAGCAGCCCTACGCGTTGGGCTGCGTCCAGCACACGCACCGTGCACTCGGGCGAACACCATATTACAAAGTTGATGGCCCCCGACTTCTTTAACACTAACAATAAATTTCTGAAATAAAAACCAACAGGAATATCAATATTGCTTTCGATGCCATGTAGATATGTTGCACATTTAATTAGGTGTTAAGTATAAAATAAATTGAAACAAATCTGTTATCCTATAATGTAATGTAAATTTGTATATGTGCTGAAAGCTTTAGTTAGTAAGTACGTCAACTACGTCAACAACAACTAGTTTGCTGTTTTTATCAACATTTAGGTTGGCCAGTTTACCAACGAATATGTGTATCGCCGACCGAAAATAAATTCCGTCATTTACCTACATATACAGCTAAAACAGATGGGCGTACCCAGCATTCACTTAGGGGCGGAGCAAAAGTAAGAAAACTAAATAAATTATTGGAATTTAACCCTTAAACCTTGTTTCAACAATAACCTCAACAAAACCTGATTAAAATGTCATTAAAACGTTCATGGTCAAGACTCCAACACGTTATTGGTTCCGTGTCTTTCTCCTCTTTCTTATACATATATAATAAACGAATTAAAACATATTTATGTATACCGTACGAAAATTGCCACGAAACGTAAGGCAATTTAAAGAAATGTTAAATATATTACGGGATCGCAATAATATCTACATCGCCACATCACAGTGTGTTCGGTGCGCGGTCAGCTAGTTCCACACCTGAGTAATGCATCTTCCTCCTTGGGCGGCAACTGTCGCGCGAGAATGGCGGGCGGATTCTCCCCAGTGGCGAGCAAAGCCGCGCCCTGCGCACTGCCCTCGTGTAGGAACACCGCACGGCGCCATCCCTTCGCCTCTATGAGCGACGCGCACGCCTGACACGTTGTAACATTAGGAAAAGGACTATATAAATTATTATTATTTATGTGTATTAGTTAAATCTAATGTAGGTTTTACTTAAAAGTCAAATTTCTATGTTATCTCTGCACCTCCCGTATCATATTTCTACATCACCTGAAGGTCGACTGGGAGTTAATGCCTCATGCCATTAAGTCCGACTTTGTACAACAAGCGCATTCAATTTTCAAATTATAAAGAAAATAAGTCAAGGCGACAATTTTTTTATTACAGTACCAGTTATGGTGTGGAAGAATTTATCGCTTACCTTGGCGAGTACTTCAGGGTGCGGGTAGAGCTCGAGCACCTCCCAAGTGGCATTGGCTGGGACGGGATCGACGAGCAGCAGCGGCAGACCCGAACGCGCGGCGGCCCCGCCTGCCAGCCGAAGCGTGCGTGGGTCTCCCCCGGCTAGGACGACCCTCTCCTCGCCCTGTGCCAGCGAGCATACGGCATCAGCCAGTGCTAGGGGCTCATTGGGTTCGAGCGACTCTCTTTGCACTGTGCCAGAACCGTTGAGGGCCAAGTCCACCATGATGGCCAGCTGCACAGCGCGTTCAGGCTCCGACTCCACAACTCCTGTGATAGCGCATTCATTATTAGGAATAATGGTCGATATTATCGCCCGTTCCATATACCCCTTCCGACACTATCCGATTCGATCTGAAATCTAGAAATGATGAAATTTACCTTGGATCCATGATATATGTGGTACAGTCACAGTTCAGTATAGTATAACTATATTAGTTTACGTTACTAGAAATCTGTATGGAAATGAAACATCAAAAATAATGATTAATATTGTTGTTGCTGTATACATACGTACGTATGTATGCAGATGTAAGTGTACTTGGGGCATACTGACTGTGTCTGGATTCTGATAAATAATAAGAGATATAACACTTACGATTTATTTATTGATCTTCAAAGTATATTCCCTCGCAATAAATGCATTCTTGCATTCGCTGAAACCACTATACAAAGCAGTTGGACCAGACTATTTATTTATTATAATAAGTACAACCAAATTGTATTTATTACACAATTCACGTTACATTCGGTTGTTGGTAATTATTCTGATATATACAACAATAACGGGGTACATAATATTCATAACAATATCAGTACACAGTTAAAATATGGATCAATTTTTATAAATTTAAGAAAATGAAGAAAAGTAAAAATAGCAGTAATAGTAAAAAATGAAATAATTACTAAATACAAAAACTCTAAACTATTTTTTTTTTAAAGAATAAGAATATAAACGTTTGTACACACTTCTACAACTATGCAATAACTCCGTGGAAAATGTCGAGGTCATTATGTATGACAGTCTTCCTTAGGGACCTCTTCCGCCGATTCTCGGCTCATGGAAACAAAAAAAGTCGCAGGGTGGCGAGGTCCGGGCTGTAAGTCGGATGCGTCATCAGCTCCACCTAGCGGAATATGAGGATGCATTATCGTGGTGAAGGAAGACATTGCTTTGAGGACGATTTTCGCGAACTTTTTCTAAGACTCTGGGCAAGCAAGTGTTGACGTACCAATCTGCAGTCACTGTCCTTTGATCTTCAAGCGATACTGTAGTGTAATGTTCTGATTTGTCGAAAAAAGAAGCAACCATTTTTTACCAATACTTCGTCTTTTCTTAACTTTCGTCAGCAAATCAATCAAAAGGAAATACCCACTCTACCGACTGGCTTTTTCTTTCGGGTTCAAAGCAGTACACCCAGTATATTAGTCTGTAACCGCAGTCGCCGGTGGACCTTTACGTACCTCGTCATGGAGATGATCACGTCCACGTCTAAATACGCTAAACCACAAATACACAGAGCTGCGATATGGTGTTTCATCTCCAAATGCCAATTGAGGTCTCTGGCAACTCTCTTGATGACTTAAGCCACAAGAAAATTCATAAAAAAATATTGAACGAAAATGTTCACGAGTTAAATTCATTTTGAGAGCGACACACAATTTATTTTCGAAAGGACGTCACAATGAAATAAGAAACGAGAGTATCGCAAATTAAAAAGTAACTTGTTCCCAAAAAAATCTATTTTCGAATTCCATAATTGTTTTTCCATTATTTTATTGCAAGTGGTCAGATCCAGAGACTTCACTATGCCCCACGTACTTGGGGCTCATTGGTTTCTAGTTATTTCATGTTTTGTTTCGCATCTTAGTTCACGGTTTGGCACATACGAGCTTAAATGCATTTAGTTCAGAGCAAACAAAATAAATATGTTGGGTCATGAAAGGAGTCGGGTGTGTTTGTTGAGAGAGAGTTTGTTACGTAGAAGCAGAAAAGTGGAACCTACCGATAGTAAAGTGCTGAGCGAGGCTTGCAGCAGTTAGCAGCAGCAGGCCCGCGAACACGCGCGCTCTTCGAGCGCACATCACGTCCACGAGCAGCGTCGGCGCACGCTCCCCACTCACTGCCACTCACTGGGCAGGCGGAGCGCCGCGGCGCCCGCCGCTGCTATTTCGGGACGGGGACGCGTCACCATTACGCCCTCGTTGACCACATTCTATTCATATTTTAAATTTTATTAATTTGGTAATGTTATGACTGTTGCCCTAAATGCCTTATGTGTGTATATGTGTAGCTGCCTATATGTGTAGCTGCGTAGTACTTATAAAATATAATTTAATAAATATTTTATTCGATTATTCTGTTAATTTATTAGGTATGCTCTAGACATCATACCTTTTCAAACAGAAATATAAAATAACGAACTGTGCGAGCTTTCCTCAAGTAGGTACGTACAGTAGACACGTAACATTAAAGTCGGAGACAAATGTTTTGTAGTGCCGCCATGCCGTACCGGATTAGCTCTAATTATGTCGGCCTATTTTATACGAAATCACAATAACCGAATACTTGATTTAGTTTTTACTGATTGCCCGGCTTTATTGAGTGTGACACCTACACTATCCATTAGTCGCGTTGACTTGCATCATCCGCCATTCGAGCTTGTATTGAGAACTAGTGTCGCTACACTGACACATAACACATCACTTAAAAAATTGTGTTACCGTAAAACAGATTATGAGAGATGTAAGCGGGACCTAGGAATTATTGATTGGGAAAAACATGCGTCGGAACTGGGATGTAATGAATTTGTTCAACTTTTGGAACGGAGTTCCTTATCGCGCGTTGTGAAAGGGGGCTAGACGGAAAAAATTCGTACGAAAATTTGGAACGACACTTTTTTATTAATATAAATTGACGTCTAACTGTGGATACCATACATTAAATTTGCTTTAACGTTCGCCAACGTCCATACCATGTTGAATACACCGGTTCTCGTCCGAACACCGAAGGTAAGCAACATCGGGCGTGGTTAGTACTTGGATGGGTGACCGCCTGGGAATACCACGTGATGTTGGCTTTTTGCTCTTTATTTTCGTGTCATCTTGTCAGACATTCAGCGCCATCTATCGAATAGATAGGAAATCATTTCGCAAGGAGATTTTACCAATGTATAAATTGTTTTAATTGTTTTTAATATGTAGGTAATAGCCGCTTTCATAGATGGCGTTGTAATTAAAATCGTGTCAAATCAATTTTACTCGATCGTCACAACTTCGTTCCTATCGGGTGTCCCACGACACGACACGGCTTTTTTTATAATAAAATCTACTCAATAATTGAAAAATATACCCCCAAAACTAAAAATCCTAATAATAGGTATCCCAGCTGGTTTTCGAATGATTTAATTAAGTTACTTGCATCCAAAAACAAAGCGCATACCAGGTTCAAGCGTTATAGGAACCCCAGAGATTACGATTTGTTTTCAATGCTAAGGGCCCGAGTTGAGATTGTTGTAAAACAGTACTTTAAAACATATATTGAGCGAATTGAATGTGATCTTAGGGTCAATATAAAGGCTTTTTGGCGCTACACAAAAAGCAAGCGTGTCACTAATAGCGTTCCTAGTCGCGTATATTACCCGGATAGGGTTTGTAGCACTGGTAGTGATATTGTCAACCTATTTGCAAGTTATTTTTCATCAGTTTATATCAGTGCAACTGCAAATTATTGTCCTAACTTTCAAAGCTCAAACTATACCATTGGTCGTGTGCATATAACCGATAGCGATATATTGCAAAAATTGAAAAGCGTGGATTTGACAAAAAACGCTGGCTTTGACTGTATACCACCCATCTTTATACGGCTGTGCGCGGCTGGTCTTGTAGCTCCGCTATCCATAACATTTGACAAATCTCTTAAGGAGGAGGTATTTCCTGAGTTGTGGAAGATTGCTAAAGTCACTCCTATCTTCAAGTCTGGTGATAAAAGTGACGTTTCTAATTATAGACCAATTTGTGTACTTAACTGGTTTGCTAAAATATTCGAAGGCTTTGTTTATAGTCATATAAATAATCATTTCTCTCATCTATTAAATCCGCGTCAACATGGGTTTGTCACGGGCAGATCGACTAATTCGAACCTACTATGTTACTCTACTTATATATGTGAATCTTTCAATTGCAAGCAGCAAGTAGACTCTATATATACAGATTTTTCTAAAGCATGTCAAGAAGGCCCGACATGTCGGGGTGCATGGGGATCTGCATAGGTGGCTCACATCCTATCTGTTAAACCGAATTCAACTTGTTGCGCTTAGTGGGTACGAGTTTATTCCATTTTTGGCAACTTCGGGCGTCCTCCAAGGCTCGAATTTGGGGCCCCTGTTATTCCTGTTATTCGTCAATGACTTACTAAGTAAAATTGACAGTGAATGTTTAGCCTACGCTGACGACATTAAAATTTTCAGACGTATCTCCGATCACCGAGATTCTGAGGCTCTCCAGTCAGATATAAATACTAATGTTAAATGGTGTGACGAGAATCATATGTCGCTAAATATAAAAAAAGTGTCAGGTTATATCATTTACAAAAAGCAAAACACTCACTTACAACTACAACATCAAGGGCATTTTAATAGATAGGGTCAAGGAGATTCGAGACTTAGGGGTAATCTTCGACTCAACTATGTCTTTTAGACTACACTATGATCAGGTTTGTAATAGGGCTAACCGGATGTTGTCCTTCGTACTCCGGAATGCAAAGCCTTTTAGGCAAGCCAGTTCACTGATAATCCTATACTATGCTTTAGTAAGAAGTATTATTGAGTACTGCGTGCCCGTTTGGCTCCGATATAAAAAAAACCATTCAGACCGAATAGAAAGTATACAGAGGCGGTTTGTCAGAGCTTTATGCATGAAATGCGGCTTAAGACGTAAAATACCTGAATACGAGGCACGACTTCGTAACTTTAACATGGTCGGATTGGATAGGAGGAGATGGATGAGCGACATGTCCACTTTGTACAAAATATTGAATGGCTCATTTAATAGTACTCTCTTAAGTCAGCTACACTTCAAGGTACTACTCGATCTGTGCGTACTCAGCAACTATTTTGTATACCAACATGCAACAATAATGTGTCTCAAAATAGTCCACTGTTTCGAATGTGTAGACAATATAATGATATTTGTTCTGATGTTGATATATTTGTTGGCAGTCACGGCGGATTTATGGAATCTTTGCGGAAATTGGATGCACCTTGACATGTGCGTGTATTGACTGCACGCTTAGATTATTTTTGTCATTTTTTTTTGTATCTTTTTTTTTTTTGTATTATGCTTGTTTATTTTTGTAACCTCCACTTACTCTGAAGCTGTATAAATCCCGAAAGCTGTGTACGGTAGTAATTGGAGTGCAGATTAAAAAATGTTATGAATATTTATAAGTAAGTTTAAGCACTACCTGGTATGTATTCTGTAACTGTACCTTTTGTAAATAAATAAATGTCTACAGTAGAGTCACCTCATTCCGGAACTTTTTTAAAAGAGAAACCCTTCTAATCTAATAGACCGTGCGTATTTATAAACGTGATTAAACACTCAAATAGTCAGTTTAGAGATAGCGATAGAGCAAGTGATTAGGAAAGTGCTGACAATCTACAATTTGAATAAAACAATAAAAGTAATTTAAAGGAAACGCACAATGATGAAGGTAGAGTAATTTTGCTCTATACAAAGTCTTTATCTCTGATCCGCAGAGAGGTCAACTCTATAGGGATGTATAGTCCCCTGTCCTTATACTAATATAATTAGTCAAATAAAATTAAAATAAAAGAAAAATATTTTGCTCTGTGGTAGAGCAGTCTTATTCCACAGCTAAAATGCTTGTGGGTCTAGGATGTATATGTGTTAAAGCTAAAGACTTATCCTAAACACCACTCGTTCGATCCCGCACCCTCTGGTGGTCTGAGGCTCTACGTAAGTACGTACTACTTTACATTGGGACGCTCTACAATTACCCCTTGAACCCAGGAAGAGCCGCTGTACCACGGAAACCCAAAAAAAATCAGACGACAAAACTGAACTTCGGAACGGTTCTACCTAGAGTCGTTCCGATGGCGGCGTTCGATAGGTCTCCGCGCGGGCAGGTTAATCGACACCCCGTTAGTCCAAATCGGAGCAGTACTCAATACTCAATACTTTATTGCTACCATAATGTAAATTTTACAGTTGATAAAAACTTAAGCTAGGTATCAATTATGGACCCTGTCGGGCACAGCATAGAAGAGAGAGAGAGAGGGGAATGATTATTACTATATTTATTTATAATATATTATTCATATATATTTAATCTGTATAGCCATTATTTTATGTTTATTTAAATATTTAATAATTATTTATTGCACTAAGTTTATACTATTTGTTATAAAGGTTATTAGTATTATTGTGATTTATTTTGTTAATTGTTGCAATTGGTTTTGGTCAGGCTTGACTATGGTCTCGTGATGTTTTTTTTTCTGAAACAAGTAGGTGGTATAATGTTTTATAATGTTGTTAAATGCATTGTCACGAATTGTTTATTTCATCCATATATTCTTTTACACTGTAATAGCTTTTTCGCAAGAGGAATAGTTTTAACTTATTAATGAAAATGTTATTTTTTTCTTCGTTCTTAATCGTTTCTGGTAGTTTATTATGAATTTTTATATATATAACTAAGGGGCTTGTAGAATGCATAGTTAGTTGGGAAGTTGGGAGGTTAAGTCTATTTTTATGTCTTAGTGTGAATTTGATTTTGTTTGTCTTCTCTTTTACTATAGTATTCCGGGTGTTTTCGAACAAATTTACTCATTTCCAGAATATAAATACATGGAAGAGTTAGGATTTTGAGGTTTTGGAAATGGGGTTTGCAGGACTCTGTTTCTTTTATATTAGTCAGAATTCTGATTATTTTTTTTTGTAGGGTAAAGGTAGTATGTGCCTCTGAACTATTTCCCCAAAGGATTATGCCATAGCTGAAGCAAGAATAAGCGTATGCGTAGTATGTGACAAGAGCAGTAGAAAGGTCTGTCGTCTTCTTAATT